AATGCCTTTAAATCTAACAGTGACGTCACACGGTACACGGCTGTGTAGCGTGGTGATTAAAATATTTAAGCTGTGTATTCTTTACTATACGATACACAGCCGTGTACCGTGTGACGTCACTGTTAGATTAAAGGCGCTCTACAGTCGCTGTTGGGCTGCGTTTGTTATAAAAAAATCTGAAAATAGTGAGCGCTTCGGATGCGTATACACAAAAATAACTCTATAGTCTGTTATATTTAGTGAGAATTTGGTTACGCTACACAGCCGTGTACTGTATCAATTTACTAAACTTTCAAAATAACATTACTTACACATTTGTACAGTTTTATACAGTTATATTGTATGAATACACGGGAATATGATGCTCCATGCTGCAAACCCATTGCAAAATGTTGCAGGCTAACAAAGGATCTGCATTATGAAATGCATGTATATTACCAATAATGCAAATGATTCACGCTCAGGAACTAAAGACAGATCTGTTTGGCTCTAAGTTATGAGGTAAACAAACCTCGCATTTTTTGGCTGAACATTTTGCACTGTCTGACTAAGTACTATAAGACATCTTCGTTCTCCACAATGTTCAATAATTTGTAGAACGAATATATGTCTTTTTAGAGTTGCAGACTAAGTTGTAATTGTATAAATCCCGATAATACGTAAAAGGCCACTTGACATGTAATGTGATAGGTGACACTTACACACAGATCGGAAAGTAAAAAACTAAATATAACCTGGTTTACTAATTGTTTGTTCCTATTGCTATAACCAACAAGCCTATTTTATCATTGGATCGAGCCTTAAATTCATGAAATCAGACAGTTGGAAATATGTGATAATTTCAGACAATCCTGGCAAAAATTATCGTGGACAGCGCGTGCGTCAAACAAAAATAGATATATTTCTACATAATTAATCCGCGAGAAAATTTCTCCCCCTTCTACCCCCAATTCAATGTTGGTAAATGAAACTTTTAAAATTTGAATGCGAGAAACAACATTGAATAGGGGGCGGGGGGCGACAAATTTCATGAAAGAACGTCTCAATGTTAATATTGGCGTTAGAAAAGTTAGGTGTCCACATAATTTTTGCCAGGATTGTCTGAAAATGACCTAAAAAAATATCGATAATTTTCACCCAAAACTAGGCCTTTTACTATAAATTTTTGACGCTGCCATTGCTTTAGGATAACAAACAGATTGTTTAAACTGGTTTAATTGTTTTTTAAAGAATATTTATAATTTTGTGGGTGAGCGGCTCTTGGGCATGATATACGCTTTGCTGAACTAATTATGCAGACGCAGTAAGACGAGTTTTCAACAAAGGAACTTATTGCTACAGCGATAAGAGTTTTTATTGCTGCCCGGAATAATTTATAGTTGAAATTAATTATGCGAAATAAGTTATTTGCGCGCGCAAGTTAATTTAAGTGTAGTCACGTGACTGGAAATTTCGGTATTTATCAGTGGTGAAGCGGGCCATCTTTCCGTTCCTATTCCATATGGGCTGCAGTTCACATCAAGAAATTGGATGGAAGAGAATTATCTTCCGTATCTGGTAAATATCTCTTACTTAGGGAAAGTACATTTATTACACCGAGGGGGGGGGGGGATGAAGATGTCTTGAAAAAAGCTCATATTTTTACAGCGCCCCTGTTGAGGTTATCGGTAAATTTCGATGCCCCCCTCCAAGTTTTTAAAATTTTTAATGCCCCCCCCCTCTAGAATTCGGAATCGAAGGAGTAGAATCCAGAATTCTCTCTTATCATAGATACAATTTGCAGTTCCTCAAGATGTCTGAATACTCAAGCATGTGCTTCTCCTCAACAAAACTACCGATCTGCTGCTTTTTTCACCTCACTAGCGCCAGATGAAATGGCATCGTCTTTAAAACATTTTAAATTGGCTCTAGGGGGTGAAATTATCAACAGGTTGTTGTTGTCCATCATTCAGCGTATTCGGAGTCTTGAACACGTTCATGTAGTGGCCAGGATTTCCTGGATCAGGGTAATGTGCTGGAACCTTACAGAATGTCGCCCCCACCCAAGTGTCTCCCGGCATCTGTTGCAAATGTCTTTGTATGCCTGTCAAAATGCATGCAAAAGTGCCATTATGCTTCAATTTCTTTAATTTCCATTCCATTTGTACGAAATATCCCATAAACATAGAACACATCATTCTTGCAAGTCGTATATGTTTTTTTGTTTTTGGAACTGCTACTTTTTGGCGCGTAAGTTACTTCACAAACCTGGCGCAAAAAAATTTAAAATAAGCTATACGTGATTTCATGTATCCATTTAGAAGAGCAGACTAAGGATATCTTAAAACTGAAATCGGTTTCGAATACAACCATCAGGGACGTAGCAAAGCATCTGACGTTTGGGGGGGGGGGGGGGTGTCAGAGGATTATACGTATTGGCACTCTCATACTAAGTTTTGGGAGAAAAGGGGAGTCTGGGGGTCCTCCCCCAGAAAATTTTTACATTTTTGAAGCTCTAGGACTGAATTTCTGGCGTTTTCTAAAGCAAATTTCGCAAACAAATTACATGTAAATTGACTGTATTTTACAAAAATGGTTATCATTTCACAAAAATAATTACTTTATTACGCAAATTTTACCTGAAAATGTAAAAATTTTAACTTTAATTTGCTGGGGTCAAACCTTTGAAAAGTTTAGAGCCCCCCCTTCAGTATATCAAGAACTTTCAGAGCCCCCCCTTTAATGCCAGAAAATATTTCGGAGCCCCCCCTTAACATCTTCATCCCCCCCCCTCGGCATAATAAATGTACTTTCCCTTATGCATAATAATTATAATATATTGGATATCAAGGACATTTCCAATTTGCTTGCGACATATGGATATTTATGGGACTTTACTTACAAACCAGACTGCGGGTTGGCCATTTCGGGTTCGCAAAAGTTAGAAACTCGAAGTGCGGGTGCGCAAAACAGTTCCCAAGTGTGCATCAAGATGCAGTCAAGGGCACAAAAGTAGCGAGATACATGTTAACAACAATGAAAATTAGAGATTACAGGGCAGGTTAAATTGCGAAAATTGTTATAAAGTGTTAAATTTCTGCCTAAAAAATATCGAGTGCGACGTTGACTAACTCTGCAGTCTGGCTTCCAATAACTCACATATTCATGACTTTTAGTCGCAGTCTACAGGGGTAACTACAATACACTCTAAATATGAATAAATGTGAACTTTAGGAATTTATTAGCCAGCCCCTAGTCTTCCGATTTATAAAATGGGAGCTAAATTTTTGGGGTGACATCTACCCTCAGTGTGTAATAGATAGTTTTGCTCACACAGCTACTCGTGGTCGTGATTCTACAAGCGTAGCAGATCAATACTGGGCTCCTTGCGATTTTGGGGCGGCGGCGCGGCGGCGACGGCCACAACACACTCCTTCAAATAAATGGTAGTAAAACTAATTCGACGCGTATTATCAGTCGCCGGTATAAATTTAATACAGTCTTACATTTACGACATATTTTATTTTATTTTATTTTATTTTATTTTACAATATTTCAGAGGCTCAGAGCGGAACACTCCCTTACGAGTAACCTTAACTATTTATACAGAATACATATAAGTGATAATTATTAACAACACGATTTAACAGAGAGACTAGACAAGGTACGACATGAATGACATTTAACATGGGTTTTATGACTGGGTAGAGTTCGGCTGAACCTGGTTTGAAATTGCACTTGTTGCGGCTTGAAATGCAGCCGTTGCATCAAGACGAAAAATCTCTATTTGGCGTTGTAATTACAGAGCGAAGACAATGTCTAAGTTATTCATATATTGCGATTATTCCATTCTCTCAATGATTTATTGTATTGGAGGCCGTTGCTGTCGCGTTGCCGCCCTGGGTCGTAGGGTCTCTAATGCGAAAGCTCAGCGTCTTTGACTTGTGCATGCAAGCGCTGCGTTTAGTATAAACGTACTATATGTAGCATATACCTTGCGCTGTTGCGTGACTAAAATTTTCCGTGGCTTTTCAGAGCGAGATAATCCCACTTGATAATGACATTAACAGGATATTAAATCCCTACAGCGTCAAGTATCGATAAATTATAGCCTACTGCGGAGACATTCTGTCCACACCTCGCGATTGCAAATATTTTACAGATGTTAATTTTCCTTTACTATACCTTACGAGGCAGATTATAATCTGGGGGCATGCATGTCTGTGCTCTTCGCTATATTTGTATGATATAGTGGGTATTTGTGCTAATTTTATGTTAGGGGTCCGAATTGTATACGTATATGTTACATCATTATGTTTGTACATATGTTATCATGAATATGCTAACTATAGCATTTGCGGGGTTGTTGCTGCTAACTATAGCATATTGTGCTATTGCTATTCGGGTTTATTAGCTTATTAGCAATATTCCCGTTGTTATCGTTTCATGTTCTTGAACTCATTTCATGTTTTATGGGCTATAGAGCAACTTGGCTGTTTTCAGATGCCCATACGTTGAGATTTCAACTTTGCCCATGGGCTTTTTGCTACACAGAACTTTTTCATGAATTTGTGGCATTTATATATACGATCGTTATAACTTATAACGACTTATAACTTCGTATTGTTTTGTGTATATACGTGTCCGAGTTGTGTTTTAAACATGTGTACGTGTGCGTATATATATTCTGCCCTTGCATGTTTTTGTGTCAGATACCCACAGTTGAAATCAATATATTATGGGATGGTGCGGCTGCATGGTTGTTTTCAGATTGCCCGAATATTTATAATTTGCAGCATTGTATAAATGGAATATTCAATTTGCGGCTACCTCCGATGTATGCCATTGTGATTATTCCCCGCTGCTTCGTTTTTTGTATGTTTCTCTGTAAATTTCAAGTTTTATGGGCTAGAGCACTAGCTGTTTTCAGATGAGTGTTGTAGCACCTTTCGGTAGATCGACTCTCATTGGTCCATAGGCTTCTGATGCTAAAAATTGAACTTTTATCATAGTTTATAATTGTTACAGTTCTGGACATAAGAATTACTTGAGTACAAGAATCGAAGGCCGTAATGAATGGGAACGCTGGTCGACTGACAAGAACATTTGAACGCACGAAACCGAAGAAGAGCGTTTCCTGATGGCACGTTCTATCGAGTAAAGGGGATCGGACGTATTCCCCGTTGACACGAGGTGAAGGGAGCAGAGGATCATAGTCTCCTCACTGCCACCGGACATAAGGGATCGAAGGAATCGAGGGGATCGGACGTTTTTCGCTTTTAAAAGAGACACGAGGCGAAGGGAGCAGAGGGTCAGAGTCAACTCACGGCCACCAGAGCATAAGGGATCGAGGGGATCGAAGGGATCGAGGGGAGCGGACGTTTTTCGCTTTTAAAAGAGACACGAGGCGAAGGGAGCAGAGAATCAGAGTCACCTCATGGCCACCAGGGCATAAGGGATCGAGGGGATCGAAGGGATCGAAGGGATCCAGGGGATCGGACGTTTTTCGCTTTTAAATGAGACACGAGGCGAAGGGAGCAGAGGATCAGAGTCACCTCATGGCCACCAGGGCATAAGGGATCGAGGGGATCGAAGGGATCGAGGGGATCGGACGTTTTTCGCTTTTAAAAGAGACACGAGGCGAAGGGAGCAGAGGATCAGAGTCACCTCATGGCCACCAGGGCATAAGGGATCGAGGGGATCGAAGGGATCGAGGGGATCGGACGTTTTTCGCTTTTCAAAGGGACACGAGGCGAAGGGAGCAGAGGATCAGAGTCACCTCACGGCCACCAGGGCATAAGGGATCGAGGGGATCGAAGGGATCGAGGGGATCGGACGTTTTTCGCTTTTAAATAAGACACGAGGCGAAGGGAGCAGAGGATCAGAGTCACCTCATGGCCACCAGGGCATAAGGGATCGAGGGGATCGAAGGGATCGAGGGGATCGGACGTTTTTCGCTTTTAAAAGAGACACGAGGCGAAGGGAGCAGAGGATCAGGTCACCTCATGGCCACCAGGGCATAAGGGCTCGAAGGGATCGAGGGAATCGGACGTATTTCGCGTTGAAAAAAGACACGAGGTGAAGGGAGCAGAGGAGCAGGGCCACCATACAGATACGGATACCTGACTGCCACCAGGCATATAGCATAACTCAACATTGCACTCACACTTCTGGCTAATGGAAAACTTTTAAACATTTTTTAGTTATCAGTTAGTCCACAGCGCATCATGTTCTAATTATACATACGAACTGACACCTAATTAACACTTGACAAACTTGCACGATATATATCAAACCACATGCCGTCATCAAATCAGAACAACTGACTAAAACAGAACTTCAAGGGTCCAACACTCATTCTTGTACATACATATTGGCGAACAATTACTCGATAAGAATCACAAGGAATTCTGGGAAGTTAATATATTAATCAACTCCAATAGTAGTGGCTGGCCGATTCGGATTACCACCAAACAAATCATTCATTCATTCATTACAAGGTAGTTACATATTAATGTTTTCCTTTGTTTTATTGCTTTTCATCATTTTTTCACTGTTTTATTATTTTTTATTATATTCACTCTTTCTCCATCACTCCACCCTATGCTATATCCCATCTATTCATAATTTTTATGAGTCTCATGCAGGTGAGCCATTTAAAAAACTCAAAGCCAATTAAATGGTGGAGTGCAATAAAAATTTAGTTGGCTCTTCTTCAAAAGCCGTTTCTAATTCTGTTGAGGTTGATGGAATCATCTTACAAAGAAGAGGATTAGCGTCCGCAGTTAACAACGTATTTATTGCTGCCACCAAATCATTACCTCCGTTATCCGAATATGAGAAGATACATCTAG